ATATATTTCTAATAGAAAAAAAGGCTATGTTTTACATCATGTGTATTAGACTCTGTTCTCGTGTGGTGTACACTTATATACATGCACAGTCAGCCCTGACTTCGTTGCTGATCATCAGGAAATGAAACGAAAAACTATTTTACAGTCTCTAAATTATGTAATGTTTTCTGTGGAATTCGATCCAAAATGTGTCACATATTATCGACCATGATTATGTGTTGCATTTGGAAAGTTTTTGCTATACCAAAGAGTCACGAAACTACAGCTGAAAATGATTTCAGCATCTTTCTTCTGATAACATAAACAGCTTTCTATGTTGACGTTTAATGTTCGTCTAATGTGTCTAATGTTGACGTTTCATATTCGGAATCTAACAAATAATTAAAATTTTATACGTAATAGACAGTCTGATGAGTTTGGACCTAGTGAAAATCCAATTTTCTCCAAATATTTAAATGCATTTTGTGAACTGAGAGATTATTGTTCAAAACTAACAATAGAGTGGATGACAATGGCTTTTACGTCAGGTTAAGCCGTTAATGGAATTACTGACTGAGTTATTTATATTTTAATGATGATTTTCGAAAAATTTCTACAAAATTTGATGCGATGAAATTGCAAAAAATACGTTCATTAAGGTGTAAATTTTCTCATAAATCAATTAATGCGAAATAATTAAATATTGACAGTTTCAGTTTAAAACAGGTACGCTATCTCTAGCATGATTAAATGGAAGGGATTATTTATCAATACATGTTAATAATAAAGATTTACATATATTTTTTACAATGATATATATTTCGTGGTTATTTATCATCATTTATCAAACAATCAAAAACACATCAATTTGAACTATAATATGAGAAAAAAATAAAAAGGAGATAGATCTAGACATCAAAAATTGTCGGTTTCATTTTCTGAACGACTCCCAAGATATGATCGGAACGATCTCGGATCCAAACAAAAGGTTTTTGCGTCATCCTTCGCTGTTTCATATATTTGACCTCACTCATAGATTCACACTAGCAACGAACTGAAACTAACTGTAGTATCTGCAGATAAGAATTCTTTGATTGTACAAGCGCGAATGCTCTATTATCCACTACAATAAACCTACAATACTCACAAATGAAACAAAAGTCATCCAGGTGAAATTGCGACTATTGCGTGTTTTCAGTAATTAAATACCACGTATTTCATTACAAAAAACTCGTCTATTTAATCGTCTGAAATATTGCTATTTATTATTGAATTCTGGTCATTGAGAAATTCTTTAGAGGTTTAATCTTATATAGGATTTTTATAGGATTCTATGTTATAGAATATTTTCAAGAACCTGATAAAAATCTTTTAGGCAAGCAGATATGGGACACGTTTTTTCCCTTTTGGAATTTTTAATGAGCACGCGAACAAATCCTAATGTCGATCGTAGAAATTTAGCCTATGAATATTCTTTTTAATTTTTGTACGCAATTTACTCACGCTTGAAGCGCATTTATATTTTAAAAGAACATGAAAACACACTACTCTCCAAAAAAAGAAAAAAAAAAAAGAAAGGGCGTATAAGCTGTACACATTGGCCGAAATGTAACTATTGACGAAGCCTCCGCCTGTGTCAATATAAGCTGTGCTCTCTAGATAAATACGTCGCAAAAGTAATGGCTACTTAGGTAAAAAGTGGATTGTGTCCTATTATGAAGAAAACGTTGGATTTTTAATTTTTGGAATATGAAATTTGAAATAAACAAATATCGAGAAATTTGGATTTTGCATTTTACAAAAGGTTTTTTAATGATCTGAATCGGTCTTAATTGCGATCAAAATCTTATTCACTCCTTTGCAACCTGTAATTAAGTTTAATAAATTTGCCATTTTTTCAATTTTCTGCTCTCTTGCGATGGTATCATCATTAAACCTCATCAACTGAAATTTCATTCAGAACTGTTTTCGATAAATATACCAAAAAAACTGTGTGTCACTGTATAACATTTGCAGTGGATTTTGACATCAAAACAAAAAGCAAATCTGTAATCGACCGGTAGATAATCCTTTTCTTTCTTCATTAACTTTTGTCAATGTGCAGTAAGGGTTGTGAACGAAATGACAGTTTTGAAAAAAAGTGAAGAAAGGTATTCTCTTCAAACGTTTGTCTTTTTTTTGAGCTAGATTGATTATAAGCTCGTTCTAGTCTAATTTCTGGTACTAAAAAGGTTTTTACTGATGAGTGAGAAGTTATCTGAGTCGTGCAGAAGATATCTAAACGCTAGGAACGCTTAACTTCTGTTCTATTACATACATGGACTTCAATTTTCATGTTGCTGTTTTTTCATTTCTAGATATGGCGTCGAGTCTAAATCTTTCGGCCTCGTCACCTCATGCCGATGATGTACCATCTGTCTATTTTTCTGGTATATGCCAAACTATTTCTGTTAAATGTCAACACCGAAATGAACAAGGTGGCCTTTCGTGTTCAAATAATCTCTATACGTCTTGTCCCCATTGTCATTTGTTACTTTGTATAAATCACATTCATGAACATGAAAATCTTCTCCGTTATGAAATTGAACAATTAATTAATGAAACTAATATTGTCAAAGCAAACATTCGAGCATTAACTACACCACAATCCCCGTTTGATGAACAAAAACAACGTAAGTTTTTTTCATAGTCAACCTTTAAATACACTAATTCATTTTGTGGATCTTTTCAGGAACACTATGTGAATTATTAGAACGTTGGTCAACAGTAGGGAAAATATCGATGAGTCAAGCAGCTTTAATTCAACATCAGTGTGTTTATGGAACGACGAGTAGTACAAATAATAACAACAATAATATCAACACTACGAATAAAGCCTACAAACAGGCACAACAATCTCAACATGTTATTCAGCAGCAGAATGCACACCTCCACCAACATCAACAATCACTAACACAAAGTACGAAAAAACGTCGTAGTGGAAAAAATAAAATTGTCACACTTTTAATGAAGAATGAAAATGGTGAATATGAATGTCCAAATGTCCAATGTCGAAAATCACTCAAATGTCAAGGCATCACCGCTCATGTAAAAGCATGTGCTGTTGAATGGCTTAAAGAAAATGGACAATATCTAGCGATGAACTAAACAGCTATTAGTTAATGTAAGATTGTATATTTTAGGTAGTTGACAAAAAGAATACGTGTTGTCCTTGTTGTTACTGTTTTTTCTGCTGCAATTCTTTTTTGTGTATTATTTGTAACGCGCATGTTTGTATACGAGTGTGTGGGCGTGTGTGTGTCGCGCGTTTGTTTGTATGCATATTATCGATGTGTTTTTTATTTACTCTTAACTCGTTGATAGATCAAAGGGTAGCTCACTCTTACATCAAGGTGCGCGTCGAAGAATCAGGAATGTACCGTTTTTGTCCCGTTGCACATAAATGATGGTTTACTTTTTTTTTCTTTTTTATCTAGTAGTTACCCTCTTTGTATATTGTACTGTCTCTCTATTCATACACTGATATGTCGTTTGTTTTTTTTTCGATATAAATGAGCTTATTCTTGAATACAATATTATTGATATTTCGAATGTTTCTGACCAGCAACTAGTCTAACAAAATCATTTGAAATGTAAAATTTTTCTAGCTTCTCATTTTCTTCTCAACAGTAGTTTTCTTGTTTTATTTTGTCTTTGAGCTTAACGTCAAGCTTAATTTTTGCTGTTGTTTGATCATTCTAGATACCTGATGTCTTTTTATCCTTCTCATCATCTTGACTCTTTACTCGAATGTTCAATATGCAAAGAACGATTTAATGATCCAATTCATCTACCTTGTCAACATAATTTTTGTCGTCAATGTTTAGTTCAATGTTTTGATACTACCACACAAACAGTGTGTTGCGCTCATTGTCGTACATCACACTCATATCCAAACGGATTCGATTCTGTACCTACAAATTTTCTTGTTGCACAATTATCAGAAATTCAACCAATTCGAGCGATTTGTAGCTTTTGTCGATGTAATGATGAACCGTTAACTGTTTGTAAACATTGTGATATCATGTCCTGTCAAAAATGTGAATCTGAACATTGTAAAAAATATGTTCAAGAATTTACTCATCTTGCTGATCAATTGTGTTCATACATGGATGAAATAAATAATCGTATAAGCAACGTATTTCTTACAATAAAATCAAAACAACTTTTAAATCGATCGTTTATTATTGAACATTTGTACAGAAATAAATTTTCCACGGATTTCACACAGGCTTCGAATATTTTATCAAAAACAAGTGATGATAATGTGACTAATTTAAGGTATTTATTTGTACCAACACAACAATTAATAACAAAATTTCTTGAACATATTAATCATTTACAGCAACATCCAATCACAATAGCAGACGATATTCAATCAGAATTTGATGATCAATTTTTTCAAATCTATGTACGATTTCAACCAGAAAACGAACGAAATTCCGCTAATGCTACGATTAAAAGAAATCCGCAGTTTTTAATGAAAAGTATGTCGCATGAGAATAATCGACGTTTACTTCTTAAACAGGCAACGATGGGAAAATACAACGACGACGGGCATAATTTGAAACGAAATTTAACATGTCTCTCATTTCAACTACAACCAAACGACGATAGTAAGTACATTCTATTTCACAAAAAAAAGCATTTTCATATCGCAAATTTAATTATTTTAACATTCCACCTGGTGTTTCCTATACGATAACATGAAATTTTAAAAGGGAAAGAGAGCTGATAATAAGATAGTGAGTGATTAAGGACTTAACGAAATGTCTGTTTTCTATGTCTTATGTGTTAAGATGAATTTTGATGATAACTTTTTTCCGTTATTTTTCTTGCCTTTTTCAGATAATAGAAAAGCAGCTCGATTGAAACGGAATCTCAGCTGTCTTGCTGTTGATAAATTTATTCTATGTCAAACACAGTCACCGAATACTGGTTCAAAGCACTTTTGTGGCAATCAGGACGTGATCAATCCAAGAAGTTTTGGTGAGTAATCGTTTTTTGGAGAATAAAGGAAGAATAAAGCTATGATACTAGTTCCTTTGTTTTATTTTAGATCGATTAATGTCAGAGAAAAGAAAAGAAAATTGCAAACAATGTGAAACAAAGCAACGATCAAATACAACATATTTTTCCATTCCATTTCAAACAGTGGAAATTCAAACCACACCGAATACTCTTGTGGAAACTATTCTAAAATTTATGACTAAACATTTTAATTTACAACAACGTTATTTACTGAAAAATGAAAGCGGATGTAAATTGAATGGAACAAGTAGTATGGAAGAATGTGGGATCAAAACAAACACCACGCTCGTTTTATGTTCAGAATGAAAATAAGTTTGTGAGAATAACGCTTGATATTTTAAGTTAGTTCACTTCTTTTGAACCTTATATCTCTATATAATTACCAGTCTTTCATAGCATAGCTAGTTTGAGATTTGTCATATAATGGCAAAATATATATCTTAACAAAAATTTTCCGTCCATTTTCTCACTTACAGTGATAGAAATCTCATATTGCATTTATTATCTATATTGGTTTCGATTTTTGTTTCACTACACACCATATTACTTACAATATTCTATTTTTATTTATTTTTGCGTGAATTTTAGTATTTATAAAGACTTACTGTACTATTGGATATGTTTGTTACATATTGAAAAAATTTTGTGATAACTTATTGTTATGGAGTAACGAATTTTTTTCTAATAAAATAGTACGACAAAGTCAACACAAGATAGTTATTGGTTACTTGAAATGATGTCTTCTGCTTGACTCTCTTCTTTCACTTTACAAGGAAGTACAGATACGATTTCAAACTAGTAGACATTTTGGCTAGGTTAATATTCAATCATGTCCATTTTTTCTCTTAAAAAATCACAAAAACTCTTATTTATCAAATGTTTTATTAATTAATTGTAGATTATGCGTTCAACCGCTTTTGTTTCAACATATATAACAATTCGTATTTTATCAACTAATGGCAATATTTATGAAGAAACTTTTTCACCACATACAATTTATTCTGATATTAAACAATTAGCTATTCGACATTTAATCACTCGTAATCAGTCAACAGATTCTTATAAATTACCCTATCGTCGTTCGTCATTTGTTACACCATCCACTCTCTCTTCATTCTCTAACAACGAACAATGTGAAAAATCTACTGAAACTGGTTCATACTATAAATTAGTATCAGTTGTCAATAGACGACCAGTTGATGATGAGAGAACTTTATCTCAAGAACATGCAAAAGACGGAGGTATGTTTCTTTATATTGGAATAGTTGATAGTTCAAATAATTTGCTTTTTTTAATTTTAAGATGAATATATTCTTAGTGCAAAGCGTATAGCAACAGTTAAAGATAACAAAGTAAGTGTGTTTCATATTCTGATTTATTCAAATAAAAAACAGTATTTTTCTTAAATAAAGTAGGATAAACCATCTAAAAACATTGTTGATCAACAAATGATTAATTCAAATACCCACGATATCAAATCAATAAATGGTGAATCGACTAGAGAATTTCGACCTGGATCAATAACGGACGTAGGTTAGTAGTCTCATATTTCTTGATCCTCATTATCTTTTATCTTTTTAAATTTTAGTTTCGAAGTGATTTAAATAAAATATTAATTTCTCTAATTGATGCTGCACAAAAATTGCTTTATTGTAGACCAGATGCAGAAGCTATTTTTATGCAAGCTGAAGGTTAGATTATTTTATGACAGTAGGTAGTAATTAACAAACTTATTTTTTATCTTAGAATTACTAACTAAATCATCATTATCTTGCGAAGAATCAAGAACAACAGAAGAGACAATAAATCAAAAAGAATACAAGCAACGACAATTGTCTAAATTATGTGATATGGGCTATAGTGGAGATCGAGCAAAATATGCATTGAAAAAAACAAAGTAAATTGAAATTTTAATCGTTTTTTGGAGTTTGTTTAAATAATTTTCTAACAAAATAGATATGATTTCAATGCGTCGATGGAATGGCTGCTTACTCACGAAGACGAAACGATATCGAATGAAGATAGTTCTACTGATGAAAGTGATGACGACGACAAGGAGGTAAAAACCGCTTCGAAGATAGACATCAAATTATAATTCTTTTTTTCTTTCAAGCAACAAGAATCATCTAGTTACGATAAAAAGCTGTCATTATTTTCCCCTACTGGACGATTTCGTTCGTTTCGTGAGATACGTCAACAACGATTTCGTCCGAGTATTAGTGTAGGTTTAATTATCATAAATTCTATTAAGATTACTATGAATAAATTATCTTTTTCTGTTCAGGCATTAAATTCGTTAAAGGAAGTTGGATTTTCAGAAGAAAATATATTAGTGGCATTAAAGGCGTGCAATAATGATAAAAATGCTGCTGTAAACTAAGAAAATTTAGTCTACTACTCGATAATAAAGTAACAACTTTTTCTTTCATTTAGTGTGAATGGTTGCTGGGTGAAAGAAATTCTACTTCTGATGATTATGAAAATGGTTTAGATCCAGAGTCAAATATTTACAAAGCAATAATGAATAATTCTTCTATACAAATTGCATTAAATAATCCCAAAACATTTTTTGGTAAGTTAAGATGGCTATATTATTTCTTTCTAGGATAATTACGTTCAAATTTTGTTCTATCACAGTCATGTTACAAATAGCTGAAAATCAAACGAGTATAATGCAATATTTAAATGATACAGAAATTGGAAATATGTTATTGCAGATATCACGAATTTATCATGCTGAAAAAGATAATATGAGTATACATGAGAGAATAACAACAGTACCAACAACAAATAACGAATAAAAATTAAATAAAACTATTTATTTCTATTTATTTTTCTCTTGTTTTATCCTTACTTTTAATAATACAGAATATATTTGTCATTTATTTTCTTGCATATTTTCTTAAAATAAAACGCGTCTACAAAAAAAAGTATACTTATTTGCAGCTGTCTGAATTTGTTCAAGTTCATTGTTCTATGCGCAAAAAAGTTTATTCTGAACAGTATAAAAACATCAAATTTTTTAAAGAGTTTCTAAAGTTTTGCTATTATCTGGGAAAATTTGATTTATAACTGCAAAACGTATTTTTCATATTATGGAAAGAAATAAACCTGTTCTGAAAGGATAAAAGATATGAATGATAGGAAGATAGTTTTACAACTTTAATCACAAATTTTTTTCTCATTATCAAACTGCATAACACATGAAATTCTAAGACTATAAAACTGATCACGAAATTTTTCGACAACGCTTTGTGCTTCTTTTGATTTGAGTAGATATGCTCGAAAAAATCTTGTGGAATCATTTTTCATATGTAAAACTCACTAATATTTATCCGCCAAGTGCATATCCATTAAGTCCATTTGTAGACAAATTTGTCTATTATCAATAAACGAGCCTAACATCCTCAGACACAAGAGCTGATCATACAACATAACCAAAAACTGGAATTACCATTAAGAAAATGGATGCAATCAAATTAAATGGCACGATGTGTTAAACGTTGATAGCAGTCGTTATACCATATCGTCTTATGTTATACGGATGCTTGTAAATTAATCAGAGATTTAGTATAGGTAATTTACTCAATGAATATATGTTTGGCTCACCCATTTAGTAAATATATTCTTACAAAGTCATCGACATCTAATTTGTTTGATGTCTGTAATGAACGTAAGATTAGAAAATGATCGTCTGTTACTTCAAGCATCATACTACTTAACAAATAAAATGACAATATTCCATGGTGCTCCAGCATATTGCTTTTTCAGATAAATGCCCAAAACTAGTTTGTAATTTCCAAAATAAATCTGCCATAATTTAGCATCGTCATTTGTCATCTATTTTTATCAACTTAAAGTGTTTAAGTGTCCAAAAAAATTAAAATTGTGCACTGTTCCAACCATCTCTTGGTACAAATAGGATATTATCGTATACAGCTTATTTACTAAAACAAAAAATGAACAGGATTTTTCAATTTTAGCATCAAGCTTACTGTAAAAAAGCTCCACAAACTGTACAAAATTATTCACATATAGAGAAAATTCTATTCACTGAATTTATTTTTGTGTTAGATGTTTTGATTTTCATTACCAGAGATACAAAAAAGGTCCGGCTCGAAAAAGATTCTTAATCAGAAGTTAATAGAGAAGTATCAGCTAATTTCAGCAGAGTTGTGCACTCTTTTCCTAGTACCTAACTGTTTCTCGAAATTTATAGTGAATATACGATTATTACAATTTATGTAAGTAATTCATTTGAAGATTAAAAAAAACGTATTAATAGAGTTACAATGAGGTTATTTATTCAAATAAACGTCTAATTTACAAGAGATTTACTTTCTTTTCCTTGTATAGAACTATGATAACTATGATGTTCCTTGTCATGACAAAAATATACGTTTTGTTCTGTATAGGAGGGTATTGCAAAAAACGAACGAAATGTCCACGTTTTAGTTTGCCTCTTTATTCTCGATGTCAATAGTGAGATACGTTTCAAAGAAAAAATTAATGTAACAGTAGTAAAATGTTTCCTCTTTTAATACTGAGCATTAGTGTAAAGATTTGAAGAATGAATGTCGTTTTAACTAAAAGACACAACCTTGTCTCATTCTATCATAGTCACAAAATAATCTCGCGTGACATTTTCACGGTAAGTAGCATTTTCCTCGTGAACAATAAATCCTCAGAAGCTAGCTTTTCACCAGTAATAGACCATAACGACTGAACAAATGGGGTGTTATCTCAAACGGTCAGGAATAATGGAGTTACAGACAACACAAAATCGAAAATTTTACATGATATTTAATGTGAAAATGAGGGTTTTTTGAATTTTATTTGAACTTTTTCCCTATGAAAGTCATCCTCAAAAAATATTTTATTTTTGACTATATTGTAGGGTCCTTCGTTGGCTCTTATTTGAGACTACTTTTAACTTTTTCCGTTAAACTCCGCAGATGCAGTAGCAGTATTAATCTCGCATGACAAAAACCTGCAAAGTATATATAAACGTAAGTTTCAGCAACACTTATGGAGGAAAGTATTATGACCCAACGCGTCAGTCACATATTCAAATATCCTGAAGTGTCTGCTACGAACTAGGCGACTAAATCTGGTCAAAATACCAACATAGAACTGAGCAAAACGGGATTTTTAATCAACCAGGTAGCGCTAAAAACTGGGATTGTGAACATTGTGTACCTAATATCTCAGAAACAGCTTGATGAAAAGTTGTGATTTTTTTCTATAGTAATGAGCATGAGTTAGAGAAAACAAAAAAGAATTTTGTTGAAATTTGTCTACTGAATGAGTTAGTTGGAATACAGAGACAGAGACGTTTATTGATGTAAAATATTGTCCCTTAAAATGCTACATCGGCACAATGGATGTGGATTCAGTCGAATAAAGAAAAAATTATGACATGATTAGTTCGTCAACGGAAAAGTGTAATAACAAGCATACGGGTGGTCAGTTTTTTTCTAAACAAGAAAACGGCATACTTATATTTAGAAATTTATACTGAATTGTTAATAACATATATGACGTGGTACATCGTTGGTAACAAACAGGGCCGCAGCCAGGGAGGGATTGGGGGCCCGGTCCCCTTTCCCCTTGGCTTTTCAAAAAACGTTTTTTTTCCATTGAATCCCGTCAGAAAAGTTGCTGGTTGATAAGACTTCACACTCTCTCTGAAGGCAAAAAAGTCGATGCCCCCTCTCCCCCCTCGCAAAAATCCTAGCTACGGGCCTGGTAACAAATTATGATCAGTTTCGTCATGGCTCAAAATTTTTTAAAATACTATCATGTGAGTTTTTACTTTTAAAAACAAAGGCAATCAAACACGGAAATAATACGCAGAAACATATGCAACTTCATCGAAAAAACAAAACAATGTAAACAAAGATAAAGAGCAACAAAAAAAAAAACAACTAAGACTAGACTTCAATAGCGAAGAAAACAAACAAAACAACGAAAATTCTACAAATAGTAGTGACATATTTCTCCCTGAGATACTTTACTCATTTAATTGTTATTCCTGCTATATCTTATTTTTTTAGTGATTTATCCTCTCTCTTTAAAAAAAAAGTGTTTTTCTACTTTTTTCTTTCTTTTATCAATGAATGTATTGTATTAATCCGCGTTTTTAGCTTTTCTAGTTTTTCATTCTTCTTTTTATTATGATGTTGAACGTTTGACAAGGATATATTGAGTACGTAGTAAGCCTTGCGTACCTAGTGGGGAAGAGAAGAAAAAACATCGATTGAAAGGAAAACGTTAGAAGATAGAGCGTCTTACCTGCGCCTGAACTGCCTTCAATTCGAAAACCATTATTCAGAAATGCTTCTAAAACTTGGGTGTACGATTCACGATCAGGATCAGCCTGCAGAAAAAATAAAATACAAAACATTTTCCTCTTCACTGTTATTTTTTTGAAGGCAAAACAAGACTTACTGGTGAATTGTAGTAGCCCCAACGATATGCATTATCTGGACTTTGCGGTAGAACTTGTTTGATTATTTCACGTTCACCATGCTAAAGATACATGAAAAAAAGAAACTATTTTTAACACATAAGCAATAATCTATATAAACACGCACCAGTTCATAAAATTTACCATTGCCAGTTGATAACCAAATCACCATTGAAATAACATCAACATTTCCCCCCGTTTGTTGTTTATTACCATCCATTATTTATTGTTCAAACAGTCTACACTTACAACAAGCAAAGCCACGGACCTTGAATACTGGAGAGATAATAATTTAGATTACTCACCAAAAAGTTCAATACTTCTAAATCCTTGACATCAATAGCGTTAACTTAACAGCAGCTGCTTAACAAACACTCCCTTTTCACACTTGATAACACTCGCTTTCTTCTATCCCAACAGCAATACAACTTACATATGATCTATTATGGAACGAATACTTTCCTCTTATCTAATGTCACATGAATTGAGCTGATGTTTCAATAGAGGTACGAACGATCTATTAATGCCAATAAATAGTTCAAAATAAGTTTTTACTGGATTTAAAAAGGTTTCTTTTCCGAATATCTCTTCTTTTTCAAAATAGATATGTATTTTGTTCACATACGTAACAGATAGAGGGCACTAATTTCCACCTACATTTAACTTAATTCTGTCTATAATCTTCTGCTAAACCTGTGAGTAACTTCAACTCTTTTAAAAACTTTTATATTTTTGTTTCTTCAACTTCAGATCAAAATCAGCTCCGAAAAATTCAAATCGAGTTTCACAATTGGATGCGCAATCTATCCTTACCTATCAAAATATTTTCGGTTCTGCAACAGAATGATCAAAATAAGCTATTTTACTAATATAATAAGTGAAGATTAGCACACACGTCAACACTCTTGTCGTATTTCAGGCAAGAGTCTTGAATCTTGTGAATTCAGGCAAGATTCTTGTTAGATTAAATGATATCTAAAGACTCTTGCCAGAATCGACAGTCTTGCCAATTCAGACAAGAGTCATGTGGCTGATTCTTGGCAAGAGTGTCAAGACTTGTACATTCAGACCAGATTCTTCTCTTGTGAATCCAGTATGACTCTTGCGTTTTTCGTTCTTGTAGGCTTTCTGCATGTTTGTATGAGGTTGAATTACACATTTATTACAATATTCTTATAGAAATACTTTGCAACAACAAAGAAAGAAGAACGGTATATCTAGCTCTAGAAAAACACTTAACAAAAAATTAATAAACAAAAAATAATTTTTTGCATAATTTACACGCCAGTAATCGAAAAAATAAACGTAAATGTCATAAATAGTAACATCATTGACTTCTTCTGGTTCACCGTCATCTAAAACTAAAAATTAGTCTCGTTTAATTTAGTAACTAAAGTCCCCATGTGTATCGTCATGAGATAGAAAAAGACTTACGTTTAATTAATATTCCTTCTCATCTAATTCGCGCCTATCTCCTTGCTCAATTTGTTGTTCATCATCATCGTTATTTCCACTAACCCTAAATGTACCTACGAAGAACAGAAAGCAATTACAAAGCACCAGTTTGTAGCAAAAAAATAAGAGAAAAGAATAAGCAATACTCATCTAATTCAAAGATTGGATCGTATAGAAAATTAAATTATAAAACAATAAGCCAAAATGGAATCATAAACGTATTTTTATGATTTCATTTTAAATAGAATAAACCGAAAATATCATACCAACAATTCTTGCAGTTTTGAGAAAACATCATGATCCGACGGAGAATCAAAATCAGCATCGTCATTCTAAAAAAATCTTTAGAATATATAGCTCACGTTCCGTGTTGGCATGACATATTTTGCATACGTTATCCGCGACAGGTGCAGCGAGTAATGTTTTTTCGTAATCGAAATCAGGGACGTTATCGATCATCCATTCTGCATTGTTTCTTTCACGTAGCCGAGACGCTCGACGAAGAGGTGCTGAAGAAAATGAAAGATAAACGAAATATAACATAAACAATAACAAAGAACTATGATTAGAACACACCAAGAACATGAAGCATATTTTGTGCAAGTGTGTCCAAAACGTCAATCTCATCATTGTCTTCCATGATTCATATTTAATTCGCGTAGAAGTTTATCCTAAATGAAACAAACAATTAGAGAAACCTGCTTTTTGTATTCCTGAGAATAATCTCAAAGCAACCTCTGTCTATTGTCATAGAACAAGAGAAAACAACAGGTACCTATAAAAGTTAGAATGCGGTTTTGCAAACTCAACAAAAAAGTCAGTTACTGTCGGGCTTAATATTCATATAAATACCGACGTGTGAAAACTGCCGCAAACTTTCTACGCTCTCACAAAACAATTCTCTGACAGGAGTAAACAACAGCACTGGGATTTCAGGTGTAGCGCTACGATTCTTAGTTTTAGTAAACTTTACACAGTTTCTACGCCTACTCTTTAATAGGACGTGGATCCACTCAAGCTAAAAAGCAATAGAAATGGGAAAGTAAAGTACATCTCGATAAGACTCTTGCCTCAGTGTTACAGATTATTCTCTTGTAAGACTCTTCATTACAATCCATTTTTCTTTTGCGTTTCTGTACACAAGACTCTTGTCTGAGACAAAAAAAATGAAAGAATCTTGTCTGAAATGGCAAGAGTTAAGACTCTTGCCTGAAATAGGACAAGAGTGTTGACATGTGCAGAATCAATGCAGTTTTTTATGCCTTGGTGAATACTGTACAAAATTAATAAGAGTTTGGGCCTTGGCGTTTTCTCCAACATTTTTAGATGAAATCCTGTAACCATCAACAGTTTGTTAAAAGAGTAACGACTAGCCGAGTTAATTTTCCACTATTTGTAACAAAAACTTAAAACAATTACTTTGAATAACTACAAAATTATTCGCTGTTCCCTAAATAAACACAAGCCGATGTCTTTCCGTACAACATCAACACCGTGGAGTTTTTTTATAATAAAGCTGGTTGTTTCCCGCTAAGAAAAAGCAGAGAAAACCATCAGAAAATTTTATAATAAGGGGATGTAGTAGTTTTACATTTAAAGAAAAAACAAAGTACATCAAAAAATCGTACTTTCTTTGGAAAAAACATGTGTACACTAAAAACAGCGCCAACAAGACGAATACCACACTCTAGAATAGAAATTGATAGAAAAACATGAAGAAAAAAATAACGTTTATGTAGAGTAGCAGTAAAGTGTTTTTTCGTATTCAGCACACACAATAATCTAACAGATTTTTTATTTTTGACAAGGGATATTGTCAAAAATTTAGGAAACTTTTTCAAACAAAATAACGGAAAAAAGTTGCATGGGAAAATAATATTCATTACAAAATTTTTCTTAAGCTTTTGGCAGTATCCTTCGTCAAAAATAGAAAATCTTCTGGGTCACCGAGCGTGTTGAATACGAAAATGCACTTTTCGCCGCTTTAAATGAACCTGAGAACGTTTCCTCCTTAGCTTTATAACATATCAAAATCTGCTAACAAGTTAACAATACAGACAGAAATCTTACATCTTTTTCTCAAAGGCGGAGACAAACGATTGCCTTCGGACCCAATAACACCGATGGAT